ACTTAAAACTTTTCTATTGTATATATTTTCTAAAGTAATCACTAAAATTAATGTTATCACATTTCCACAAGAAACTAAAATTCTTGACAGCTAAGTGAGCATGTTGTTAGGGAGAGACAGAATTTCAGTAATTCTAGCAAGTACTGCATTTCATACTTCCGGAATACGTAAGATTTAAAACAGACAAGTGAGCAAAATAGCCAGAACAGCGAAAGCTAGACTGAGGGGAAAACAATAGCATTCATTATGATCCTAATAGCAGGCATTGTGCTGGCTGATTTATATAACATTGTTGATCCACCAAATGAGCCCATTTAGGTTTATGGCAACTGAGGCTCAGATAGGACAAGTAAATTGCTCAAGGTTGCCAAGCTAGTAAGCTAGTAAAATGCTGACACCAGTTTTGAAGCCAGGCTTGCCTGATTCCATATTTTCCCCTTTGTTCACTTGGATTTGTTTTTACCATACAAAGAATTCTAAGGTGGTAGGATTATCATTAATGTGTCAGTGAAAAGGGCTGAATATTTAACACTTTGGCTTGTATGGTCTTGAGAAAAATTAGGCTGAAATATTCAAAACTGGGTTTAGAATGGCTTAGAGATCAAAACCAAGAGAGAGCAAATTTAGGGCTGCTTCTTGACCCAATCTGAACAATGATCATACCACAGATCTTACTTAGGAATACCAAGGCAGCAAAATTGCAGTTTTAATTTGGAAATCAGAGTAAAACTTCAAGAGAATTTGGATGTTTGTCGGTATCCACTGATGTATTCCAAGTCCTGAGAACAGTGATTAGCACACAGTACATAGTCAATAAATCTTTGCTGAAATAATGAAAAGTCATGTAAGGGGTATTCTCATTTAATACTCTTGAAGGCCCTGAAGTAGAGATAAAAACAGCAGAGTAGTAAGTTTAAAAATCATTCAAGTTGTTAGGATGCTCTCTTTAAGAAAACCTACTAAACAAACAAAAAGCAATAGTTGTAAGACATTAGCATGACTTTACAAAGAACAGGAGACAAAAGAATAAAAAGACAGTTTTTCTAGCATCCTGGTTAATCAAATTTCAGTGAGATGGAATCCAGAATTTTGACTTCCTGTTTTAATATTTCAAACTGCTATGAGCAGTGTATTCAATGACTGCTCTTAGAAAAGAAAATGGTTATCTAATCTAAATACTCCAAAATATGGACGAGTAATGGAATGAAAAATCTCAAATTCATTAACTCAAAGATAACAAGAGCACACTTACATAAGCATTTTTAAATTTTGATGGTAGGTTTCTATTATAACATGCAAAGAAACCTACAAAAAAGAGCATTAAAAAAGAAGCCTTTGGGAGACAGCAAGCCTCTCCATAGAAACACTTTTTCACGGACTTTCCTTCTAGTTTTCATAAACTTTTCTAATATCTCTTATTTGATGGAAACAATGAATAACCACTACTTATCACAAAACATGTTCTCTCAAATACATGCTTTATATATTGCTTTCTTCTGAACAGTTCTTTGAGCTGTTCAAGTCTTTCAACCACAGCAATTTTTATTTCTTTTATGTGTACTTCTTCCATGGAATAGCACCGAAACCAATCTAAAACACACCTTTGCTTCCCAAAGACAGTTTCCAAAAGACAATACCAATATACCATAATATTTTAACTATCTTTTCTCTATCTTTTTTAGTTAGCTCCATAATCTTTACTTACTTCAGTAATTCCTAATACTGTAGTTTAATTTGTCATAATATTTTCTTCTATATTACACTAATAAAGAATAAAGAAGAGAATGAACACATTCTCTCTAATCAGTTAGTTAATACTTGCTTGAGGAAGTCTACACGTCCCTAACCTTATAATAATAACAGACATTATTTTGTCTCACCTTTTCAACTACTGCAGAAATTTTGTAGTCTTTAAAAAGATAACTCATTGATTTTAGGGCCTGAGATCTTTTATGACTATGGGAGGTTAAAACATGTATTTTTGCCTTTACATTTAGTTTAAAACATATTTTCTAATAAACTCTAAACCAAATAACTCTTTTTTTTTTTTTTAATCCTCACCTGAGGATATTTTTTCCATTGCTTTGCAGAGAGAGTGGAAAGGAGGGAAGGGGGAGGGGAGAGAGATCGATGTGGGAGAGACACATCATGCATGAGCCCCTATGGGGGCCAGGGATCGAGCCTGCAACTGAGGTATGTACCCTTGGCCAGAATCAAACCCAGGACCCTTCATTCTGCAGGCCGAAGCTCTAGCCAGTGAACCAAACTGGCTATGGCACAAATAACTTTTTAAAGGAACTAGAACTAAAATAATTGCAAATTCGCCCAGCCAGCGTGGCACAGTGGTTGATGAACCAGGAGGTGACAGTTCGATTCCTGGTCAGGGCACATGCCCGGATTTTGGGCTAGATCCACAGTAGGGGGCATGTAGGAGGCAGCCAACCAATGGCTCTCTCATCATTGATGTTTCTATCTCTCTCCCTTCTTCTCTCTGAAATAAATAAAAATATATTTAAAAAAAGGTACATGCAAAAAAATGAACCTAGACCACCAATTCACACCATGCACGATAATAAACTCAAAATGAATAAAAGACTTAAATGTAAGTTGTGAAACCATAAAAATCCTAGAAGAAAACGTAGGTAGTAACATTCAGACATCTCTTGTAGCAATATGTTTGCAGATACATCTCTTAGGGCAAGGCAAACAGAGGAGAAAATAAACAAATGGGACTACATCAAAATAAAAAGCTTCTGCACAGCAAAAGAAACCATCAACAAAATGAAAAGGGAGCCCACTGTATGGGAGAACATATTTATCAATGACACATCTGATAAAGGGTTAATATCCAAACTACATAGGGACTCACACAACTTAACAAAAGGAAGACAAACAATCCAATTTAAAAAATGGGCAAAAGACCTAAACAGACACTCCTCCAAAGAGTACATACAGACAGCCAAGAGACATAAAAAAATGCTCAAAGTCACTAATCATCAGAGAGATGCAAATTAAAACCACAATGAGATATCACCTCACACCTGTCAGGATGGCTAATATCAACAAATCTATGAACGATAAGTGCTGGCAAGGATATGCAGAACAAGAAACCCTAGTACACTGCTGGTGGGAATGCAGGCTGGTGCAGCTGCTATGGAAAACAGTATGGAGTTTCCTCAAAAAATTAAAAATGGAAATGCCATTTGATCCAGAGATCCCACTTCTAAGAATATATCCTAGGAAACCCAAAACACCAATTAGAAAGTATTTACGCACCCCTATGTTCACAGCAGTGCAATTTACAATAGCTAAGATTTGGAAACAACCCAAGCGTCCATTAGTACAAATGGATAAAAAAGCTGTGGTACATTTACACCATGGAATACTATGCAGCTGTAAAAAAGAAGGGTCTCTTATCCTTTGGGACAACATGGATGGGCCTGGAGAGGATTATGCTAAGTGAAATAAACCAGTCAGAAGGATAAATACCACATAATCTCATTCATATGTGGAATCTAATGAACAAAATAAACTGATGAACAAGATAGATATAGAGATATAGAACCATGGAGCAGCTGGATGAATTTCAGAGGGAAGATGGGAATGAGGGGGGGGCAGAGAGAGTAATTAAGAAGGTAGATGCATATATACATACCCTATGGACAGGGACAATAGGATGGAGAAGGAGAGGGACATCTGCAAAACTTTCAACAATAATAAAACAAAACAAAACAAAACAAAAAATAAAAATGGTTACTTTTCACCCTGACAAAAAAAAATTACCAATTCCGCGGATAGATTAGGTAAGAATCCAAAAGAAGAAAATACACAGGTTTTATTCTTTTAAAAATCCCTGAAAGACATTACAGGTCACTTGACATATTCTAAAATTACTAACTGTTAAGATTTCCTAAATTCTATATTCATTCCTTCAGTAGACACTCATCCCTCTAAGTATTGTGGTACTTGAAAACAGAAGTCAAGCAATCAAAACTGTTGAGGGTTTATTACCACTTTGCATATAGTTTCTTATAAATCATTGAGAATACAGGAAAAATACAATTATTCATCTTTTGTCTTTTGTGAGGCAATTTCCATCCCCACTTAAAATCTGAGCAGAATCTCATTATCCTTGCACCATGCTTTAAAACTACAAGGAACAGATACTATTTTTTAATCTATCTGAATTTAATTAAATTACAAAGAGGGAAAATGTACTAAAGTCTAACTTTCACAAATGCTAATGTCACATGTAAGAATTTAGGGCTGAGGAAGCAAGTTTTTCTCAGGCACAGGGCAGAACCTGTAGCATAAAATCAACAGGTCTAAGATTTTAAGATACCAATCATATTAAGGTAATATCACGTATGTATTTCTGTATACTTTCATCCCGGTAAGGTGAATATGCCTCATAATTTATGTAAAACATCGAGTACTGTAATAAACCGTGGCTACAGAGTTCCTGCAGCACGTCACGACAGTGACACACCTAGCTAGGTGTGCGCTGGACAGTGTAGGAAGCAGACGTAGGCAATTATCTTGCAGAGGAGAGTAGATAATTTCAACAAGGGATTTAGAATTCTTTGAAGAACACATTAAGAAAATTTTGTCGAGGAGGAAATACTCCATTTTGCATGTTGAAATAAATCTCACATAAATTCTGACTGGAAGGTGGACATTAGCAGCATAAATTGGTGTAATAACCGAACTTTAAACATAAAACTTTAAAACATGGTCTGTGCAAACGACACCAAGCATCACATTATCCAGCCCTTGCCGCCACAGGAAGTGGGTTGGACACCCTAAACCATAACTTTACCCCCACAGGAAGTGAGTTATATTTCCCCTCCCCCGAGGACTGCCTGCCTCCCCTCCCCCAACCGGAAGTGAGGCACCTCCATTCAGTCGGCCTCAAACCGAGACAAACCAATTAACAACAGCAAAAGAGGGTGGAGGGCACCGCCACTGTGGCCACCCCTCAGCTCGCCTAGCTTACTGACCTGCTGACGATAGGGGCAGGCAGGGGCCTGGGTCTAAAGAAAGTCTCCAGCAGAGGACAATTCTCTGAGCCTCTCTCAGTCGCATTCAGTCTTCCCCGGCGTCTCACAGCTTGAGAAAAATTCCTCCGCAGTACTTTATTATTATGTGCTCTCTTTCCGTTTACCTTATCGTCTTAAACACCTTCCCATAGGCAACTTCTATTGTCGCAATAACACTTAAAATCGTTTCGGTGAGGAGAAAAACAAATTATGTCCTATACCTTCAGAAAAATGAAGGGATTATTTTGTTCAAATGCGGAGAAGGCCTACGTGATTACGCAAGTGAGACTCACTTTCGTGGAGGTTTCTGGGAGATGTAGTGTTTTTAATTGCTAAGGCCTGCAGAAAGTATTGGGACTTAAATTGGTCAAGTACTGTATACCAGCTTCCTGGAAAACACAAATTCTGTATTCCACGGCAGGCTGACTGAGGAGCTCTGGCACTAAACGGTCAATACCTCACGAACTTTTTGAACTGAAATTTTCTTTCGTGCCGACCCCAGGTTCTGGTCCGACCGCTCTCCTGAGCCAATCAGGAGCCCTCTAGGCCTCATCTTATTGGGGTATGAACGGGTGAGGAGGGGCACGAGGACTCCCTCCACCAGACTGAGGTGCGACTGCGGGAGGGTCGAGGGCCCGTGCGCGCGCGAACTCGCTCCCCCAGGAGTTCGCCCCCGAGTGCGCGCGCCGATGGGCGGTGCTCTGGACTGTGCGGAGGAGGGCGGGTGGACTGGTGGCTGCGAGCGCGCCGTGCACTCGGCGGGGACTAGTAGTTACTGTTAGTGTCAATTGCTCCGCGGCGGTGGCCGCGGTGACCAAGAAGGGGACGGGACGGCCGGCGATGGTGGTCACCGCGGCAGAGTGTGCGCCCCTCAGGTAACAATGGGAGGACTGCCCGCGTCCCCTCGGTTCCCTTCAACTCTTAAGCGCCGGCTTGTGGGTCCAGGGTCGCTGCCGGGTAAACGCAGACCCGGGGAAATCCAGGCGGGGCGGCGCGGGGTCTGGGTAGCCCTACCGCGGGGGCTCTCCGGGAGACCGGCCTGCTACGGCCTATCCGGCTCCGGCCACCCTCGCGCCCCTCAGCCCTGGGGGCTCGCCGGGACTGTGCACTCCCTCGCACTCCCCGCGGTTCTGGCTCCCACCCCTCCCTCCTCCCTCCTCCTTCTCCTCCTCCCCCTTCCCCTTTTCGTGATCGTCGTCCTCCTCCTTCTCCTTCTCCCTCTTTTCGTCGTCCTCCTCCTCCTCCTCTTTCTCCTGCTCCGGCTGCTCTGGCAGCGGCCCCCTGTAGTTCGGCGCCACCCAGAGGGGGGAAAGTTGGGATCTGGCGCGGGAGGACGCCCCCGGGCTCTGCTGGGAGGCTGCTGGGGAAAATGCTAGCTGGTGGAGCTGGACGCCGGGAGGCTGGGGCAGGAAGTGCTCCTCTCGCTCCTCTTAAGTCCACTCGCACATCCCTCTCCAAACCCGGGAGCATTTGGCGCAGCCACTCCAGCAGCCAGAACGGAACCCGGTAGCTCTTTGCCTGTTCACTTCGAGCTGAGGCCCCTAGCATGCGGTTAGCGCGGTTGTTTGGGGATTTTGAGTGGTTTGGTTGGTTATTTTGTTTCTCCTTTGCCCTTTGATTTATCCGTTCTTGCAACTTTCCTTACCTCCCGCGATGAGGACTTGCCGCGCCACCAGAACCCCTTCCCTATCCTCTCCCGGTTTGCAACACCCTTCTGAGAGCTTGATTTCGTTTTCTGTCCTTGGACGACGTTCAAGACTGCCAAGAGCAACGGGAAAGAGGAGCCCTCCCACCTTTAAATGTTACTTTCTTGTAATCCGTTGTTATTTTTAAGATCCAAGCATAGAAATTTGAGAGCTGTGGAATGGAAGTTATTAGAAGGTTGGCGCTGAGTTAAAGGAAAATTAGATTTTATCTTTATTGGCCTTGCTGTAGACAACCTAATACAAAATCTGATGCCTGTTAAATGTAAGACTAGACATTGAATTAAATCTTTGGAGACTTCCATAAAAGGCTTTTAGGTCATTGGATAATATGTGTAAATAGCTTTTCACGTGAATTGGGATTGCCGTGAGGATTCTGTTTGGGGCCTACCTACTGACTTTTGTTTAGCCACAAGTGTCTTTTTTCCTGATAAATGAAATGATGTAGTAGTGTGTTGTTGGAGAACCCGTATTGGTCTCTGGAGTGTGGTAGTGAAAAATGGGAATATCCACAGGGTAAAACTTTCCATGAACAATCTTGGATACACCCTTCATGATGGCCTCTCCTATAATCTCAGAGCATTTCTAGATAGCTCAGTTCACTGGCTACCTTAATTACTTTCTGAAGTGCCTGGCACTTCTCTTTGGTGACTTGTGTAGTTAACTATAATGGCAGGCATGGTTCATTTTCTTGGCTTCAAATATGGAATTGTAGCCTTAGCCCAGAAATAAATGGAAGCAGAATTCATACCATTGTTGGTAAGTTTTTGCCATGACAAATGCACAAGCTATGTGAAAAAACAAACATCTTTTCATAACTGTCAGAGGGGAAGAAGAGGAAACATTTTATCATGTCTTTATTTTGGAGGCTAACATGACTATATTAGGTGGGAAAAAAATGTCAGATTATTTACTTTAAGGGTTTTTGATGTGTGGTATTCCGCTCCATCCCCTAACCCCCATTTAGGGGTTAACATTTATGTGTGGCTGGGTTCCAGGATGGGAAGAAAAGGAAAAGTTAAGAGTGCTTTGAACTATAATGATACTATGACTACTCATTTTATCTAGTGATAGTACAGAGAAACTGCCTTGATAATTTTTGTACTCCATTAACATTCAGTCAGAATTCATTGTTAAGAGTCTGTCCTGAGCACCATAAAGAAATAATGCCACTTCATAACTGTTTCTGACAATCATTAAAAAATTGTTCCTGCAGCCCTGACTGGTGTGGCTCAGTTGATTGGAGTCTTGTCAGGTGCACCAGAAGGTTGTGGGTTTGATCCCTGGTTGGGGCACACGTGGGAGGCAACCGATTGATGTTATCTCTCTCACATCAATGTCTCTCTCTCTCCCCCTCTTACCTCTCTAAAATCAATTTAAAAAGAATTGTTTCTGGAATGTGTTATATGTGTACTCATATAAACATTTATCTTTGTACATTTATAGTAATGTAAATGTTTAAGTCTGAGAGCTTAAAAACTTTTATTTGCTTATTTGCATACATGTGTTTTAACATCTAGCAGGGCCAAATAAACATCAGCCATAAATTCATGCTCTAGCACATTTCATATAATAACTCTCCTAAATTACTCCATGGTGAAGCATCATGAGATTAGCATTTTTCATGAGAGAGATTTGTTTTAACTTTTGTTGGATGGATTAAGTAATTTAGGAACTAAATTGTGGACCTTGGCATGCCAAGTGTGAGTTAATGGCTCTTTACCACTAAGAGTTGTGGTGAGCTTTATTTTCTCATTTTTATTTTTTTAAGTGTTGCCTTTTAAAAAAAATCTTTATTAATTTCAGAGAGAGAGGAAAGGAGAGGGAGAGAGAGAGAGAGAGAGAGAGAAACATCAATGATGAGAGATTCATTGATTGGCTGCCTCCTGTACATCCCCCACTGGGGATCGAGCCCACAACCCAAGTATGTGCCCTGGCTGGGAATCGAACCACAATCTCTTGGATCATAGGTTGATGCTCAACGACTGAGCTACGCTGGCCAGGCTGTTTTCTCATTTTTGTTTTCTACTGTATTTCCTACTTCCCTCCGCCACTCCAGTCCTTTCATTACTAGAGAGCTCCTAGGAAAGTCTAGTTTCCTTGGGGTGGGTGGAGGTGGGCAAAGGGGGGAGGGAAGGGGACACCTGCAACAATGTCAATGTTAAAAATTTTTAATTAAAAAAAAAAGTCTGGGCTCCTTCATTGCTGGTTTGTTTTTCTTGCAGAAATTCTGGTAACTTTCAGGCCAGGAATAGATAGTTCACATTTGTTTGACAAATGTTTTGAGTGTCTTTTAAGTGGTAGACATGGTGGTAGGCCCTGAGTATATGTAGAATGATATCCCTTTTTGCAAGGAGCATACAGTTTAGGAGAAGGTAGCTGATAACCAATAATTACAAAGTGCTGTGCTATATGACAGGGATATGCAGAATCTTATGAATGGAAGCAGAGAGGGGGAGGGTAGTTGACTTGGGATCTTAGGGGCAGGGGTGTGTTTGTCCGTACACTAAAGCTTCGTGGGTTCGATTGCTGGTCAAGGGCACATACCTGGGTTGCAGGTTAGATCACAGCCTGGTCAGGGCGAGTACAGGAGGCAACCAATTGATGTGTCTCTCACACATCGATGTCCCATTCCCAATCCCATAAAAAATAAATGGAAAAAATATCCTTGGTGAGGATTAACAAACAAACAAAAAATGCAGAAGTTAATCTAGGTTCAGAAAAAGGGAAAGGACATTTTAGATTAGTGTTGTCCTATAAAAATCTAGTATGAGTCAAATATAAAGTCACATGTATTTAAATTTCTTTTAGAAACCACATTAAAAAAGTAAAAAGTGACATGCTATCATTTTTGAGTACTTGCTAAGAGTGAAGGGGAACATGGTGGAATAGGGAGTCTTAAAAAGAGTATGAGTTTATAACAGCTTTCAAGGGAAGGGTGAGGGAGAGGCATGGGTGCAGACATACAAACATGACTAGGAAAATTAAAAAAGGACTGTTAGGCAGCATTGAGGATCCATTTGAGGTTTGTAGACTTTGGATTTGTAGACTCCTACAAATCCAACTTGCATGGTTTGATTTTCCTCCAGCAGTGATTACCCTGGGTATAACTGAAGAAACGCAAGAATTCATATGGTGTGTATTATTTTTCTCCTTGATTGTAAGATGAACAGCTGGCGTTCAAGTACTGTTGCTTCAATTCCAGGGCCCAGGCCGTTATCCACTGCTTTGCAGATGTCTGCTTGGTAGAGATACCTGAAGAACAGTTGGTTGAGGGAATTAATGATATTGAAGATTGTGCCTGAAATGAAGAACTGTGGAGTCCATGAGCAGGAAACCTGGAAGGGATGATTCAATTGGAAGAAAATGAAGGGCATAAAAGGTTAGAGGTTAATGTGAAGCTGAAGAGCTTGCTTGTGAGGAGGGAGCAATAATATTAGCTTTTATTTATGGAATTATTATGTGCTGGACACTTTACTACCTTGTTGCTAATTGTAACACTAACTCTATAAGGTTATTAACTTTATCGCCTTTTCTTTGTCATTATCCTGCAGATGAAGAAATTGAACGTTGTTCTAGGTGTAGAGTGAACCAAACAGACAAAAATCTCTGCCTTCATTCTAAAAAGGGTGAGACAGACATTAAACACAATAAGAAAGTGTGAACCTTGAGAAAGAAGACACCTACTAAGGAGGGCTCCTGGTGGTTAACTGGGCTCATTAATGCCCCCCCCCCAAAAAAAAAACCCCCAAAACAACACAAACACAAACAAAACAGAGCCTAGCAGCCATTTCTACACAGGTTCCGCTCAAGCAAACTGCACTTCAGGGAGAAGCCTGCACTAAACTATCTGCTTCTGCACTCCTTGCCTGCACTGTTTCTACCATCTGAGCCATCCCATAGAAAGTTTCACTCACTGGGACCGAGGCTTTTCCCACCCATTCACAGATGCACAGCTCTGACCAACCTGAGTGGCTCTATTCTGAGGGACCAGGACAATGCCTTTGGGCCAAAATGAGGATTTGAAGTCGTTTGCATAAGGATGGACCAATTAGGGACTAGGGGTGGGGGACTTATGTTCATGTGAGCCGGCTCACCTCTCTGGCTGAGAGTGCACTTTCCTTTTCCACTGAAAGCTGCATTCCCCTGGCTGAGCTGAAATACCTACACAT